CCCTAACCTAAATGAACTTTAAAGAATTTTCCGTCATCACGTGATGGTAGAATTTTGACGGCGATACTGGGGAAGATCTTAACTACTAGGTATTTGTTATTAATAATTTTTTATTTATTATTAATAAATAATTTTGTATTAATAATAATATCCTAAAATTTAACAGTAAATAGTTTATTCAAATATTTAGTTAATTTGTATTATCAAATTTGATACAATAATGATACATTAATAAGAAAAAAATTTGATTTGTACTAAATATTTTCTATTGACATAGCATCCGTAAAATTACAATTACAGTATAGTCACATGACAACAGTTGACTAGCTTGTTATGTCAATATCTATTTGTTATACACCATTTGATCGTACTACATGTCTTTTTCATCATTAACACAAAAATATGAAATCTGAAATTTATTTTGATTAAGGGTTCTTGATCTAAAATTCCATATAGGATGTTGCTAGGCGTAATATTGATAATTCCATTATTTTCACAATAGTCTTCAGCAAACTGACTCGCAAATATTAGACTTTTAAATTTTTCACTATTTTTTCTCGCTTGAAATTTCAAAGGAATCGAAAAAAAATTTTTATTAGCAAAAAAATGTTTTAATTTCACCTTATTCAAATTGACATCAATTTTGCCATAACATTTTTGAGAACAAGCGGGTTCACAGTCAATTATGCTATATAATAAACAATAATTCATATTGATATAGTTAAAATACGGTAATATAAAATATAATCATGTATTATTCGAAATTTTTACCAACCAGACATTTAACATCAATCTTTGTAAAAATAGGTCATCGATCAATAGATTCATATCGCTATTATTATCAATATCGTAAATAAATAAACATCCCATTCTTTTTTGTGGTACAAAATATACGCCAGTTACGAGTGTTGTTTCGTGAGAACTGTAAGAATTTTTTGGCACTTCTAGGCTGCATGTTCCAAATATGTATTTATTTCGTGCATATTGATGCGGAAGTTCTACAATAAATTTATTATCATATTTCATAATTGGAAATTTTCCGCTTTTAAATTTCAAATGATTTTGAGAACTTTGAAAATCAAAATACACATCAAAATTTGCTGGGTATCCAATTACAATCCAGCCTAATTGAATTGAATAAGATTCCCGATCATTTGGAGCTTTTTTGCTTGCAATGCGATGAATGACAATAATAGGATTATCGTCATCGTAATCTATACGCGATGAAAATATATATTTATCTTTTTCGTTCATTATCGAGGTGAATATTTGACAATCCTTAATATTAGGAATGTCTCTTAATTGCTCACTGAGATCATATATATATGGTGTTTTTTGATCCTTGTCTAAACTAAATGAAAGTTCTTTCACGTTTGCTATTTTTGTTTTAAATAAAGCTCGATTAATCAAATGGGATAACCACAATATTAAATTTTCACCTATTTACCTTTTAATATTCTTTTCCCCAATATTTCTAAAAGTTTTTCTTGTAAATCTTTTCCCAATAAATTAAATAATGGATAAACATCATGATGTTCAATTAATTGCCATGTTTTAAAATCTTCGAGTGATTCAGCCCAATTATTTTGATCAGAATTCGTTCCTCTTCCACCAACAAGGTATGATTCACTTGCAAATTCATCTTCAGTATTATTTGGAAAGCTTAATTCATTAACAGTTAGTTTGATGAATGGTATCTCAATCTTTCCTTTAAATCCGGCAACCTTTGGTTTAGCCTCTACAGGAGTAAATATTAAACAATCTTCATTCATGTTTAAAGAGCTATTGTATCAATTATACTTACTTAAATTTTTTGTCATAATAGCACCACCAAAAGAGAAACGACTTGCATAAAAATTGCCATACTTTTTTGATAATTCACGAAACTGTACGGTCTTATCATTCATGTTATTATTGCTTAATATATTTGTAATATCCTGTATAAAATTCTCAGTTAAATGAATGTCTGGCTTTGAAATTGAGAGTACGGCTTTTTTTATAATTATAGATGAGTATTCAGATGAATCATGATGTGTTTTCATCTCAGAATGATTATTTAACAACCTAAATTTTCTATTGTCCACTAATTTAATTTTAAATGGTTTATTCGGGGCCTTTTTAATGGTACCTTTCTCAACAATAAACCCATATTCGCACATATCGATCAAATCCGACCAATCAATTTCAGAAGTTTGTCGAATCTGGTCATCGACATTTTGCAAATCTCGTTCTGTAAATTCTTCTTGCTGAATATTGTTTTCAAAAAAGCTATTTACACTTTGAGCATGGTCATTGCTTGAAATATCTATATCAGTATCCAAAGTTTTACTCTTCTTCGGAATTGTTATTGTCGAAATTTTCTTCGAAAGATCAGTCTTATTGCTGCTTTCAGCGGAAGAATCCAAGTCTGTTGAAGCATTGCCACTATTAATGGGATTTGTAATAAACTCTACTGTAGTTTCCGTTGATAATTTATCAAGTTCAGCTAAAACCTGGTCTAAAGATGGACGCTCGTCCGGGTTTGCTGACCAACATTTTTCGAAAAGATTAGCATAACTTGAGGGTGTATTATCAATGATTTTTTCTCTTTCACCATTTGCAATTTTCATAGTAATAGCTATATCGTTGAAATCCTCAAAAGGTGGGATCCACTTGTGAGCTCCCAGAGTAATACACCTAGACTATAAATATCGGATTTTTTATTGGGTTTGACCTTTTCATTATAATTAATGAAACATTGTGGCTCTACGTATGCTCGTAGGCCCTTTACACTTGTGTTTGAAGTACCAGTAGTAGCATCTAATCGTTTTGATATTCCAAAATCAGTGATTAAAGCTTTATTATTATTTATTAAGATATTCATAGAATGCTATATACAAAGTTTAAGAATATTGTCAATTTAAATTTAGGGCAAATTAGAGCATTTAAAAGAAATAGGTCTTACAAGATCTCGGTGAACTATGCCATTATTGTGTAGATGGATTAATCCAAGTGTAATTTCTTTTGCAATTTGGATAAGGTCGATCAATAAGATCTTATAAAAACCATCTTTTTGCTTTCCATGCAAGTGTTTTCGGAGACTACCACCATTAGCATATTGTAAAACCAAAATGAAATTATCCGTCGAAAGGTCTGAAATTTGGTCCAAAATGCAGTATAAAGTTAAGCTTATTGCGATGTCATATTGGGATGTTTGTTATAAAAATGTTTCAAATACGTTAGGTTTGGGACTTATAGTAACCCAAACCATACTTAGGACTTGTCAAAACTTTGATAATGTTCCAATGCAAATTAAATAAAATGTAATTACTGGATATTTAGCAGCGTCAAATTTTCATTGTACATATAGTAGTGGTCATGGAAACATTACCCGCTTTAACTTTTAAATTGCAGAGCTATGATTTTAAAAATTTCAAAATAGATATTATCTCTTAAACTGTTTTCCAGGCAAATTTGCCTGGAAATTTCATGATTGATCTGTGATTAAGCTATCAAATTATATTGAATTGTAGTCTATATCGTAGTAGATACGTAGTTAAATTGACAGTTTAAGGGATAATATTTGTATATTTTGTACATAAATTTTTATAGATTTTTAATTACTAGATCAAATTTTAGATGAGCCTAATTCTTGAGTAATTTTTTTAAAAAAAACAAGAGATAAATAAATTAAGTATCTTTATTTCTGTATAATCAAATTTAATTATTTTTTTAAAAAAATTAGTTTTCATCTAAAATTTGATATAGTAATTAAAATTTTATAAAAATTTATATTATCTTTAAAATTTTTAAAAGCATAGCTCTGCAATTTAAAAGTTAAAGGAGGTAATTTCACATAACCACCCCTATAATAGTTTTCCTAACAAATATCCCAATATGTATACATAGTAAGCTGCCAAATACTATACAAATTAACTCGTATATTTTGGTATCATTCAGCGTGAAGTGATTATTTGAATTATACCAAAATTACATAGACCAAAATCGCCGGATTTTAATTTTCTCCACAAGCTTTTGTAAAAAGAGGGCAACTTATATAGTATACCGGTAACATATGGCCAATTTTGGACTCTTACCTCTTGAGAATCCATGAAATTTGATGATATTTTGGTGATGTTCGATCTTATAAAGGCACTTAACCTATATGTTATTGTAGGATAATGAGATTTCAGTTTCTAATATGGAGTAACAAATTAAGAATATTACCTCGCGTTTAAATTGTCCTAACTCTTTATCCTCAAGTTTCAAATTTTTATTGAAACTTTTTAATGCATAAATCTGTTCATTAAAAGTTGCCGAAAAAACGACAGCATAACCACCCTCGCCAATACGTTTGACATCTTTAAATTGCGAGTAGTCAAAGCTTTTTATACTCTTTGATTTTAAATATTCTTCCAATTGTTCAGAAACTTCTGGTGCTAATTTCACAAATATTAAAACGTCAATATATATTGTTATATGATTTGTATGTGTGAATACTCACATGCTTTCATTGACATAATTATATTTAAATCTTTTTTAATTCGATTTGCTATATAGATGCGTTCAAAATTTTATGACTTTAAAGAGATATGAATGCTAGAGTGAAAACCTGTAAGTAAAATTCAAGATGTATTATTTTGATATTTTTATAGAATATGCAACTTCCTTATCTTAGTTATGTACGTACTGATGGGGTGATCGATGTACTGTACGAACGGTGCTAAAAATCTAAACGCCACAATCTCCTTATAGAGACAAAGGATCATCAAAGTATAAACAAGTACGTACACATACGTACGTAGCATATTGAAATCCCAAATTATTACAGCATCAATGAAGTGAGTACATAAATACCTTATTGAAATCAAGAATTTAATTTCGATGTGCCAAATAAAAGTTACAATCATTTTGTGTAACGTATAACCAAGTAAAATAGTATTTAGATTATATCTACTGCTCAGTACGTATAATAATATTTAGGACTTATTTATACTTTGCCTTTATAAAGAATAATTGTGATTTTGCACCGGAGCAAGAATCTAAAAACCACAATTACTCCTTATAAAGGCAAAGTATAAATAAGTCCTAAATATTATTATTATTATACGTACTGAGCAGTAGATATAATTTAAATATTATGCTACTTGGTTATACGTTACATAAAGTGATTGTAGTTTAAACTTTTCACCCGGTGTTACAGTGATTAATATATTGATGCTAATAATTTAGGAAATATTTGATTTTAATTATGCTACATATGAGTGACGAAAAAGGAAAACCTGTAAATCATTTCACTTATTATGTGAAATGATTTACAGGTTTTCCCTGTCTCTATAAGGAGATTATGGTTTTTAGATTTCTTGCTTGCGCCATAAGTACTATACGTACGTGCAGGAAATCTAAAAACCTCAATCACTTTATATAAATTAAGTTCAACTGACTCCTTTGATATAAGCTAAATTTGTCATTATTAGTAACTGGTGACCCTAAATTTTAGCAGTGCATGCATAGACTAGTTACTATTTAGTACATATTATTCTTGGCGTATTATTTTTATACAATAAGATTGGGAAATTCACTTTATTGAGATTGATAAAAGATTTATTTCGATGTGCTACCGGTTCATGAATTATATTTATATAGAGAAATTGAAGTTTTTAAATTTCGGAATATTTAAGTCTAGTCCTATAAATCAATCTATCTATACTAGTATTTTGACATTGAAACGATTTGTTTGTCCTCTTTCCGTATTTATTATTTTGTTTAAATTGGAAATTTCTATAACGTATTTATTTTGCTTAAATTGGAAGTTTCTATAACGTATTTATTTTGTTTAAACTGGAAGTTACTATAACATATTTATTATTTTGTTTTTAAATTGGAAATTTCTATAACGTATTTATTATTTTGTTTAAATTGGAAATTTCTATAACGATATCGATATTGGTAACAGCTAACATTCTAATATGGGAATTTCATTTGCATATTCTTTTCATAAATCTTTTACTAAAAAATTTGGCAGTTACAAAATCATTAATAACTCATTATTTTATTATTGCGCTTTACAAAAGATGCGACATATGCAGATTATGTAATGTAAATTGATGATTGATGTGACCTATGCAGATTATGTAATGTAAAATTGATGATTTTTCGTTTCTAAGAGAATTATATCATATTAATATCATTGATTGAATACATAATTGATAGTACAGCAGATACAGTGCCTGATAGTGTTAGGAATGGCTGGCTCAGCTTAGTTGGCTTAAAAAGCCGGCTAAGCCAGCTCAAAATGGCTTAATTTGTTTTATATAATTAATATTTTAATTCTGATTTAAAGTTTTTAAACTAGTTTGAGCTTGATATGTTACTATTATTATTTATAAAATAGTATATAAAATTTTAATATAATATATTATAATATTTTTTATTAATTGATGATCTGTTAATTATCTGAAAAATAATTTTAGCATAATGCAAATTTTCTATATTTTATATTATAAACAGAAATGCAATGTGTACTTATTTAAAACTTTTTCCTATAAAGTTAATAGTTCAAATTAATTAATTAAAAATTATAAAGCTTGTCAAGATGCATCTAATAATAGTTAGATCAATTTAGATGATCTAACTATTATTAGATGCATCTTAATAAGCTCTATAACTTTAATTAATTGACTTGAACTATTAACTTAGTATAAAAAAAGTTTTAAATAAGTACACATTGCATTTCTGTTTATAATAAATATGAATTAATTCATTATATAACAAATTTGAATTTGTCAAATAATAAACTAATTAATGTTTTACTAATTTATATTTTATTATAAACAGAAATGCAATATATGTTTATTTAAATTTTTTTTATACTAAGTTAACAGTCTAAGTTAATTAATTAAAAGTTATAAAACTTATAAAAATACATCTAATGATAATTAAATAATTTAAATTAATCTAATAGATATTAAGATATTATTAATAAATAATTGGTTAATTATGTAAATTTTTATATAAATAATAATTTGTTTATATAAAATTTTATTAGTTTAAGTATTTATTGCCAATAGTAATACTACTACCTTTTATTTTTTTTATCAAATTTAGAATTGAGCACAATTTAGATCAAGATTAGAAATTAAATACAAAAATTCAAATTTTAGTTGAAGTTAGGTTTTGAAGATTTTAAACATTTTAACTTAATACTTCTAATAAGTCTTAGTATTAGCTAGTAGGTTTTTTCAAAATATTATATTTCTAATAATATTATTATTGGTAGTAAATAGTAATATTCAAATTTTATATAATTAACTAATCATTTTTTAATAATATTTTATAATTTAACTATTATTAAATGTATCTTAATAAGCTTTACAACTTTTAATTAATCAACTTAAACTATTAACTTAGTATAAAAAAGTTTTAAATAGGTGCATGTTACATTTTTTTCTATAATAAAAAATATAAATTAGTTTATTATAACAAATTCAAATTTGTTATATAATAAACAAACTTATAATTATTTATATAATTGATTATATGATTGATTATATAATTAATTATATAATTGACATTAATGTTTTTAGAATTAATTATAAACTAATTCATGATTGTTTTTAAAATTTATCATAAACTAATTTATAATTAATTTTTTTTTTGATATTAAAATGACTTTTTTGGTTTTTTAACTTTTATTAATAACATTTTTGATAATGTGATTTTATAAACTACTACAAAAGAGTGGACAATTGGCTATATATATAACTTTTTTATATTATCTATTTAAGAAATCTGTCTAAAGAGTTTTTATCAATTACTATACCTAATATTCCTATTTGGATATTCTATTTTAAACTCTCTAAACTTATAATTTGTGTTAACTTACTAGATTATACTCAGATGTCCAGATTATTGTCTCAAATCTAGAACTATTTTATCTTTGAAGTAAACTTCTAGAGTCTTCTGTACTTATTTTTATAGCTGAACTAAGTATTGCTATAGCAAAATCAATACTTGCAATTAAAGTTATATCATTTAATTGCTATACTCTTATAGAATTTATACAGATTACAGTATTTATTTTATAATATAAGCCAATACTTTATTATACTCCTGTTTTTTGTTCAGCCTTTTGTTCAGACTTCCTATTCAGATAAACTATGTAGAACTATAACCAGTTTATTATTATATTAGATTAGCCTGATATTTTTTTTTTAGATTTATTTTAGCAACCTGATTAGTGATACCTCTGAACTTTTAATCAAGTGGTTTTTACCTATTTGTATACTATAACTAGTACTATAATCTTGATATCCATTTTTTGAGCCTAGTTTTTACAATAGTGCTGTCAAATATCTAGTTATTTCTTTACTTGGATCTTTCTAAAAAGACTTCTTGTTACTTAATTTTAACAAATTTATATAGTCAAAAGAACTTATCTAGTGTTTGAACTGCCTAATTTTTTAATTTGCATTTCTTTGTTTAACTAGTTATAAAGATGTCCTATAATCTGCCAGTCATGCTAGTATAACTGTTATTACAAATATCTTAATCTAATCATTAGTAACAGTTGTCATAATATGAATATTATATAAATGTTTATTTAAATTTTTACTATTAATTAGATTTGAACACCCAACCTATCACTTGGAGAGTTGATAATCTGACCACTTTACTAGGTTATTATACTTCTTAATTCATAATTAATATTATTATTATTACAAGTTACTATATAGTAAAATATTTTAAATCTATTAAATATAAAATTTACAGATGTTCTTATATCTTTATCTTTTATTATATAAAATTAATATAAATAGTATAGTTGTATACTCTTTCTATAATTGCCGCTGTAGCTATTGTACACAATAGCTATATGCCAATAATTACCAATAAACTCCTAGATTACAAGTACTCACCTTAATATTAAAATAAAATAATATAAATAGTATTTGATTTTTAAAAGTTTCTAATATAAAGTAGTTATATAATACAGTAATACTAGAAACTAAGAACAAAAATAAATATAATAATTTTATATTATTTTATTATATCAAATATTAGATTAAATATCAAATTAAATGTGTAATTTATTTAAGTTGTAAACTTTTTTTTTAAATATTAAGGTAGGGCCATGTCTCTATTTTTATTAAAATTCAGTTTAACTTTTTATAAAAAATATACAAAATATATTTATATTTGAATTTTATATCTACTATATATTAAGATTAGAGATTTAGACAAGTTATCTATAATATAAACCTATCAAAATGGCCAAGACTTATTTAGATTTCAGAATTTGTTATTATAATAAGAGAATTCATTTAATATTTAATATATTTAAAATACCAAATTTCAATTTTTGGATAAGCAATTGAATAAAGTATTTATAAATTTAATAAATTTTAAGAAGTGTATAATTTTGAAGAGAGTTAAGCTTGTTTGCTAAATTGGAGCCTAAAAGTACAATAAGATATTTAGATTTGAGAATAGATTTGTTGATTATAATAAAGCAGAAATT